AACTTAATATAGGTAGCTGCTAAACCGCTGTCCGTGAAACCTCTGATTTTGCAGAGTCGACAACTTTGTTAACACAGGCAAACATCAAGCAAGCGCACATGACAAGCCATCTAATAAGTTATTACTTACTAGTCCAACAGCAAGAAGGCCAGTTCAGCATATGTCCTCAGCTCTTTTAGCTCACACCAAACAGTAAAAGCCAGTCCGATATTTACTCTTGTCCGGTCTCTTGCTCGTCACTCTTTTTTTCCCCCCCCCTTCCTCACACATCTTTGCTCTCTCCTCAGCCTCTGCCATAAAGAATTTTTTTTGCTCAGTAGTTGCTTTTCTAGAGCTCAGGAGACAAAATTGTGATTCTCATTTTAATTTCAATGTTGTTCGATATCTTTCTCATATGTTGCTCCTAAAATTCAAATAGGTGAGAGCGCATTTAGCAGCAGGAGTCATAATTGAGACTTGCTCAGTCTCATTAATGGCTCGTTTTTTGAAAAAGAGTTGCCATGAGCAGGATTTAACCCAGGACATGCTGTTGTAAGAGCAACAACTTTGCCACTGTACCATACAGCCACATGTGAATATAATATGTTTTTATACATACGCCTTTTTCGGTACGACAGTTTGTCTGTTCTTGTGTGTGTTCAGTCCTTAATGAAATAATCTGTAAATACGCATTATTTTCAGTGGCAAAATATTTTTTTGTTCTTCTCAGTAACTTAACTACAGGGATCAGATAGCAATCAGCACAATACATGATTTAAAATGTAGGGGAGTAAAAGTATAAATCCCCCTAAAATGAATGAATGGCTTCGGCTCTCCTACAATGTCAAATGGTTCGTTGATCTGATTGGCTGGAGTTAGCCCGTGACAGATGGAGAACTGGTTCATCCAATCACCTGTCAAGTATTTTTTGAAAATGCAAACATCTGACGAGTCAGGTTAGTAATCACTTGACACAAAAGGAAAAAGGAATAACTCCATCACCAGAAAAGAATATCAATATTGGATGATTCTGTGGAAGCTTTTTGTTTACACCCAACTGCAGTATTTCTCAATTATTGCTAAGACCGTATTTGTGCAAGGAAATAAATTTGGTTATAGAATAATCAGAGTAAGGCATTTCATTAAGGTTAGGTCAATATAGAGTTTTTCAGCATGCATTATCTGCAAATTGTAAGGTACAGAATTATCCAATATGGATATAATATCTAGGGATAGTGGGCCTAAAAGGAAAGCATGAGAAAAGTGTTGCATTGGCCAGTCCTACTCCCTGTACAAAGTAGTTTACAGTTATCTGTATTGTAACTATTTGGGGATTTAGATTATTAAAATGGGTTTAAATGTAGATTTTAAGAATTTGCAACATTAATAGAAAAACAATCCCAGCAACACACTGTCTATAAACCTACTGTAATCCTAGAGGATGAAAATTGATAGGGTCACCACACCATATTCCTAATTGTATCTGTGAACAACACTCTGAGAGAGAAACAGCTTTCAAATGTCTCACTGTCACAGCACATTTGACTAACAATTTTATCCCAGTACAAGGTGATGCATTTCTATTGCAGAGGGGAAATGTGTATAACATTGTGTCACTCCTGTCTGCACGCTCCATCAGTCCTGTCAAAGCTCATTGCCGCAGTTCATCTCGAAACCAAACTGTGAAACAGGCCTGGTAATGGTATTGGCTTGACTTATCAGGCTTTGATTATGTCTGATAGTCACTCGATGCTGAGCAAACAATGATGTGAAGGGCCTGAGCCTTGTGTTTCACTCTCATTTCATTACACATAAATATCAATGAGACAAAAATAGTAAGGACAACATGGATCTGCGGCACAGGAAAATGAAATATGAGTATACCTGCAAGACCGGGGAGTCTAGATTAAATCAAATACCAGAACAGGTGGCTGCCCCATAGGGATAATGAAAGCGAATGTGTCTGCGCTGCATGTAAAGTGTAGATCATTTGAAATCACACGGAAAAATGTTATAGCTATAAGATACATTTTATAGTGAATGCAAAGTAGTTTCTAAATACGGAATGTCTCTTTTCTAGGCTGTTTTAATCAACATCAGCCAGATTGTACTCTTATCTGCAAGTAACCCACAGCAACAGAGTATTCTAATTTCACAGATTTAGTCACAGTGAAGAAGTCAGTCACTGTGAGAGATTAGAGATTTAAACATCTCTACACCTGCAGCTTTCTCTCCCTGCAGAGCCAGCAGGCCAAAATGAAACAGTAAATACACAGGGGCCATGAGGCTCTAAGCAGTAGTAGGAAAGCGGGATTATTCACTTCAAAATAAGTAGAATAACTTATTTTCTCAGTACGTGGCTACTAATCTTTGAACGTGATGGCAGAGCAGAGGCATACATTAAATTACTTCTGACACTGTTGTAGGTCATAAAGCCATTTAACTACTTTAATGTCCAATATATATATTTTATTTATCTTTTCTAATGACTCTCCCATTACCAGTTATTCTGAATAGCTCTGATGTGTCTATTTTAACGAAAAGCTACAAGTCAACTTGCTGATATCATATCTTAATGTAATTTTACAATGCTAGCTCAATTACTAACTAATACTGACTAAACTAACACTTTCAACATGGAAATGGCAACAAGAAAGAGTGCAATTTTCAAACAACAAGGGCCACAATTTTACTTGGGCAATTAACAGTATTTTAACCAGCTGCAAAAAAAAAGTCTGCAAATTGTCAATTCTGCTGGCTATGCTGACTGTCGCGTATGTCCCTACATAAACCATTACATATAAGAATTAGATTGTGGCTATACAATTTTTAAAGAAGGGAGTAACAAGGCATATATTTTGAATTATAGTAAGAAGGTATAATCATAGTATACTCCTCATAATAAAGAGTACTAGGCACTGGACTAGAACATAAACAAAAGCACAGTCATCTACAGTGACCTTGAACATACATACACTGTAACTGAAGTTACAAATGGAACAGTATCAGCTGATGGTGCCATAAATAATTCTTTAAAGTATAACTTATGTTCCTAATTGAATACCACGGTGTAGTTTCTGGGTTAAACATGTAGAAAACATGTTTAACCCAGAAACTGAAGACAGCTTTCTCTGATGTATACTTTTTGCCACTTTTCTGGCAAAATGATTAAACTAAACATGATAGCAATCTTAGTCGTGTTACTTTTTTTAGTAGCTGAGAATATGCTAAAAGCATTTAGAAATACAGAAAGTTGTATTCATATGCTTTTTTCTTTTTCCTAAAAGGAAAGACCCCCAGACTCCCTGCTCTTTAAATCAATGTTACACCCCTGGGATGAGTACTACAAATTTGAAAATCAAATCACCAATATCATCCATTAACAATATATCTGAACAAGATTCAATCACATCTGCATATATATTTAACCCTCCAGATTCTCCTAAGTCTCCTGCCCCCCTGTCCTCGCAACACCACATGTTGGCCACAAAAAAAATCCACTAGAATGCAGGAAAACTCTGAAATTAACAATTTTCTGGGGAAGATCACCAGATACCCTGGTTGGATCTGGTCTCCTGATTTACGCTATGATGTCCCGAGGTTGGCAAGTATGCAAATAAACTATACTTCCATGGACCATGATTATTGACTTGGCTTTTCATCTACATCTGCTTTAAAAGTGTGAATTTGGCTGCTGAACTTTAAACAAAATTCCTGGGGGTTGAGGAGTGATGACCCCAACCCCTGCGGTGGGTAATGTCATGTAAGGCCTACTCTACTAAAATGCATCGACTTCACTGATACCAAATCTCACTCCAAACTAAATTAAGTGAAGAGTCCCTAGCAACAGTGTTGGGTCTTCCTATAAAATATGATCTTGCTGATCACATTAGGTCAGTTTTAGCAATTAGCGTGGTAGTTTGTGAATGTAACAAATTACTGACAGCTGGCGGATATTGAATAGGAGTCTGAATCTTCGAATATTAAACTTTGAAACACATATTGTTTTAAGCCCAACATCTTAAATGCTCTGAACATCACCCACAGTATGTACAGTAGCTGCTATCAATAAATACAACACCGCTTTTTAATACCATGATTATATGCCTACCTGCACCTGCCACTTAGTTGCGGCAATCGCTGTGATCTATATAAACATGTATTAATACCATGAAATCCCATGTTTCCCAAGTTAGTTAAACTCAGCCAACCATTCTTCTATGTTCCATTCTAAAATAAAATGTGCATGTTTCCCTGCCTCCTGCTCCCCAGTGTTTTCCTCTGTCGAGAGAAACACCTTGACAGATCTGAGACCTTAAACGATCTTATTTTATATGGTATGTGAAATACTCAGCCCAAGAAACAACTTAACAACTTCACCTCCACCTCATATTTCAGATGTGATGAATCTTTAATGATCCCAGAGGGAAAACTAGCTCAACTGCATCAGCAAATACTAACAGGATACTGCAAGGAAAAGTAGAACACAATATAGAGTGCATAGAGAGATTATACAGAGAGATGGATGCTGCAGGGAAGGCTTTTTGATTTCACTTCCTAAAAAGTTTACATTTTGGAGAACAGCACTAGTCTTGTGTATCCTATACAAAACTATGCCATGTGTGCTAAAGAAAAGATGCAATGCAAAGTAGTTTGTGTATTGTATATTGCTTGCATTCCAGATTGGATAAAACTGTTCGTGAAGATGTGTAATGTGACAAGTTAAAATAGAATATTAATAATCTGAACATACGATAACTAAATATAGTAAATTCATGGTCTGGGGATGTAGTGGTATTTTCCTCATTAGAGTAAAAGTTCTTGCTGAGGAAACATCTTTTCACTCTTGTGATTATTCCTCCCCATTTTCAGGGGCGTAACATGTACAGTCCTGGCCTGACTGCTGGTAAAAGTGTAATTCTGAAAGTTGCACCTTTGATGAGAAAACTGGTGAAGGTGATAACTTTTGAAGATGTGAGAGTTTGGTAGATTTCTGCTCAGGATGCAGTACAGTCTTACCTTTCATGCTGCCGGTAGGGTGCCAAGCTCAGCCCAGACAACAGATCTAGAGTTTTCCACTACTTCCAGACTCCTCCTGCCTGTTGGTGGTAGGGATATACTTCGAATTCCCCATGACCTGATAAAAATATTATAACTAAAACAAATATAAATAAAATGGTAAGGTATTCAGAATCTGGCAGTACAGTAGAAATGGTTCACGTTATGGACTTGAAAGATTTTGCACAACAACATTGATGCTGTATCATCAAATTTTCCTGTTTGTCCTTTTGTGTTTATCCCAGACTCTCTGTGCATCTATTTAAGAAGCCTAAAAATGCTTGGTGTAAGCAGACGTATATTCTGCTGAATTTGCTAAGAGAGAACTGGTTCCAGTTGGCTAACTGCTAGTGGTGTATCGACCAAGATTTTTGGTCTTTGTTATGGTCGACCAGCTGTACATGACCTTGCTTTTCAGGTATTGGGGTATTTTTCAGTGTAAAGGTTATGCTTCAAAATCAAACACTTGCTTATGCCTTTTCTGGACCTGAGAAACATGTCTTTCTACAGACTTTATTTTATTTATTGGGAAGGATTTGTAATAATTGTAGAAATACACACACCTGTAGTGTTTAATGTTCTCACAGGAAATCCACAGCAACAAGTTCAATCTATGATTTAATGTCTCATCAGCTATAGTACAAGTAAACATTTAACATTAATCTGTAACCCAAAATTCCAAAACATCTTTCAAATCAAAGGTCAGTATAAAAGCAAGTAACTTTACTGGATGAGTATGGGAAGCCCAGAGTGTACAGCTCCAATGGTCAAGGGTCATTGAACTTAAGTTGCCCATAAAGCCTGTGCTTACATACAATTCAGATAGAAATATATATAGGCGCTGCAAAAAAGGAAAAAGCATGATGTCTCTGGAACTGCTTTCACCGTGTCCACAATCACCAAATAAAGGAAATTTGCATTGCAGTGCACATAAAAAGCATGCTTAGCCAGCGACTGTATCCTTGCAGAATTGAATCCGCTGCTCATCACTGAGGCTCTGTCGCGCCCAACCAGCTGTTCTCTGAATTTCAATCCATAGTTTGAGGCCATTCACAATTTTCTGTTATCCCAGCAGCATCAAGCTTATCGGCATGTTCAAAATGCATGAAGCCTTCATGTACCGTTCCCTTGTAGTACCTGAGCACTAATGAAATTTGTTCTTGTAAGTCTTGTCTCATCAGCTTGGACAGTAAATGCCCGCTTTGCTTTACCTCTTCAACAGTGTCCTTCCTAACCATCTCAGCTAGAACCTCAAATCTCATTTTGAGTTATGTGACGTGTATTTGGCATTTCTACGCTCCATTTTCTGTTTTACTAAAGGGCCTTGCAATCTCTGCCATAATGGCCAAAAAGTTTCAATGCTGTGTCAGTTTTAATACTACTAATAACTTCATTTGTATCCCTCTTACAGGTAACAATGCTTTAAAGCAATCAATACAAATTTTGAAACATACTGGAGGCGTTAACCGTGTTTAACCAAAATGTAAAAAAGATGTTTTTTCCGCTGCCCGCCAACCAGGAAACAAGTGATACTTTGAGTTTGTTACTTTTGCATTGCCAAAATGCTGGATGGTTGTTGTGCTTTCAGATGCACTAAACAAGGAGGAGACAAGCCTGGGCTGTGTTAGGTGAGGGATTCCCCACAAGGTAAATGCAAGTACATTACTGCAGTTGAGCAGCTGCAGGGACCTGGTGTTTGTTTTTTTAACGGTAGAAATGCAGAAGCGGATGCTGTAACATGGATCGGAAGTGCCCAACACTTGCAGTTTGTGTTCATCTTTCATTTTCTTTAGTTTAGAGGGGATCCATAAATTGAACTGCTTTTGCGGCATCTCTACTGGGGGAGTTGCGATGTGAGCTGCTATGTTGGTCTGTTTTGCCCTCCAGGTCACCGCGCATGTCACATGACTGAAAACTATGAAATCACATTGCTACATGGTGGGTTAACATTTTGGGTTTCTTAATTATCCACCTTGGGGACCTTTAGGTGCAGCAAATGTAGGCAATGGTTGAACAGGGAGGCTCCAGCTGTCAGCCGATTCTACATAACTAAAAATACTGGTTGACATAAATAAGTTTTATTTATATTAAAATTATACTTTTTACAATACATCATAAAGTGCAGATGTTTAAGAAAGGCAAACAATTAAAACTGCACAGTACACAACGCCATCAGTTTAATTTAGTTAATAAAAGTAGTCAAATCAAGTAAATTTTATTTACACAGCCCAATATCATAAATCACAATTTGCCTCAGGGCGCTTGACAATCTGTACTGCATACATCAGCCTCGATCCTTAGACCCTTGATTTGAATGATGTCTGTTTTCACCTGGTCTATGGGTGCTGGTCTGCCTCTGGAAGTTTTGTTCAACATGGGATGGTCCCTGGCTTCATTCAGGCTGACCTTCAGGGCCCTCAGCCTGACCTGCACTGTCCCTGTTCTAAGCCCAATGTTTCTTCTTAATGAAGTTGTCTTGCTTTTCTCCATTTCATTGTTAGTTAACTCTACCTTGAAAACATGCATATTACAACACACTTTTGTTCTCGATTACTCATCTACAGTGTTGTTTTCCCGTTTTCAGTGTGGATGTGTGTTGATGTTTCAACTAGACTATATATTTTCAAGTAACATACAAGTGGCACGACAAAGCAGTAGCTACATTTCAAGTGCCATATGGGGGATCTTGCAAGTCAATGAGTTTCCCCAACACGTTCCTGCAAATGTTTCACAACAAAAGCCTTGTTCAGAAATTACAGGTTTCTTACCACTGAAATGCTAGAGAGGGCTTTTAATTTGTAATCATACAGGAAGTGTTTGTGCAGCATAATGCGGCAACTATAACATGGCAAAGTATACTGAATTATGACAAATTATTCTAACAAACTGAGGGATTTTGAAGGAGAGCATCTCTTATACGAGTTCAAATAAAGTCCCGTTAACTTCTGCAGTTGAGGTCAATATGAGAAAGTACGGTAAAGAGCCAGCATTAGCTAGCTAAAGAGCCAGCATTAGCTAGCTAAAGAGCCAGCATTAGCTAGCTAAAGAGCCAGCATTAGCTAGCTAAAGAGCCAGCATTAGCTAGCTAAAGAGCCAGCATTAGCTAGCTAAAGAGCCAGCATTAGCTAGCTAAAGAGCCAGCATTAGCTAGCTAAAGAGCCAGCATTAGCTAGCTAAAGAGCCAGCATTAACGTTAGCTCTGCCACATACAGTGAAAAGCAGACTACTTGCAGCTACCATTAATTCGGTCCACACAAACTAAGCCCTTAAACAAAAGGACAAAGTAAAGAACCTTCATTTGTAACACCACAATGATTGTCAACATTAGTCAAGTTAGAAGGAGCTTCTGCTAGGCTAACTTAGCCAATGTTTGTTAATGCATATGAAACAGGCTAAGCACAACAACAACACTTTCCAATGCGAACTTAACCAAATTCATTTTAACAGTAATTTGCAAAACCTTATGATACATAGTACATTCAAGAAATAGAGTTCTGACTTCTCTTGCATCTCTTTGCTTTCCTGCAGAACTGTCTTTTTTTAACAGCACTTTTCAAAATTTGTGTTCTATCGGAAATTGAAAGGCACAATAATTGATCAATAAGAGCCAATGAAAATTGGGGTGGACAATCTGATCACAAGGGGGGCGGGTGCCCCCTGTGCAACCACAGAAGATCCGTGTCTGGTAACTAGTAAGATCACTGCAAGCAAAAAGACTCAAATCAAAGCTTCAACATGTCTCTTCAGAAACCTATGGTTTTTATGCAATGTTTTTCCTCTATGATCAGCTAACCTTGTGCCCAATCATGTACTAAATGCACATATGTAACTGTTCTACATTAGGGATTTGTTCATTGCATGTGGTTTAGCTAAAACTGGGGTTGTTTAGAGTGTTAGGATAGGCTGTCTTCAGCCTGAAGAAAAAAAAAAAAAAAAAAGCTGAAAAAAGTGTTTGTAGAATATTTTTCCACATATTTTGGTGTTGAAATGATAAAAAGTTTTGGAATCCGTGCAGTAGATAGCTTCAGCCGGCAGCTGCAAACAGGCTGTATTGCTTTGGGATACTTGTGCCCATCAAATGTGCTTTATTTTGCCCCCAACAGGCTCAGACTGTTATACATATTGGCTACAACATCATGGAGAGGATCCCCACGAGCGAGTCTGGGTGAAAATCTCGTGAAAGGCGAGTTGTTGCAGGAAACACTGGTGGATAAGAGCGAGGGGAGTTTGTTGTGAACGCAGGAACTGCTAGCAAGATTTTATTTCTTAACATTACTCCAACACAAACACTCTCCAACTCGCTAATTGCGTTTCCAGTCATGAAGCAATCTACTGCACGGATTCCAAGACTTTATACCTATTGCCATTTCGACACCAGAATGTGAAAATCGCACCCAGGTTAGCCCCTACCTCAAGTAATCCTTTAACCAAATGGTTTTGTAACTGTAGAAGCTGAAATGTGTAATAATGTCTGGTTGACAGTTCCAATGCTGCTTAATTTCAGCAATTAGCACTGTCACCTGCTGAGTTAATTACATCTTCACCACATATTACCAGCAATGAGGAGAAATAACTCTTTACAGATACAAAACAATCTTTATCTTGTTTGAATGGGTATAATGTTATGATTGAGGCTTTAACTGAACCATTGTTTGATTATTTCTTACGGTTTATGATTTTTATCTTTATTTCTTTAATTTTTGATAGTCTTATTTCTAATATTTTACTCTTGGAAAGCACTTTGTGACCTTGAGCTTTGAAAGGTGCTATATTAAATAAGCCAAACTAATTGCACATATATTAACATAATCTACATTGTACATCTATGGTTTGGGTTTTGACTTTGCCAAAAATAGAAAAATAACTACCTGTCAAGAATATAAAAAACAAAACAAAAAAAAAGCTGATACTCTCAGCTAAATAAGTGCTGTTATGGAGGAGACTGCAGGCAGTTGCAGCTGTAAGGATTAAAGCTGGTTGGAATTTAAAAGGCATGAATGTCAGAGGTCGCTATATACACACACGCACTGAAATCTCTGCTAATCACTGAAGTAAAAAAAAAAAATAAATAAAACACCCTCAAGCCTCTTATTTGTCTTACTTACCCTCGATCTCGGTTTGTCCTCTTTGGCCTTTTGAAGTTGGAATTATTAAACACCATCATGAGATGTGGGACTTTACAGTGGGACAGTGATTTTAAAGTGGTTGGCTAAGTTCCATTCATTTAATGAGAAACCTTTACATGTGAGGCTTCAGCAATAAACAAATAAAATTAACATTTTATTTATTTCATTAGTGTGAGAAATGACAACACATTATGCATGTGCATACTCAGTCCTCGTGCATATGCCATCCTATTTATCATCTGCCTGTGCGGATCGTGGATTGGAGTATCTTGACAGTAAGCCCTGGTAATTAATCCCCGTTTATTCAGTGTCTTGGCTAAAGGAAGAAGTTATGCAACCATGCCTGTTACCCTGTTCACTCTGTTACTGAGCCCAAGCAGATTACATTTGAGCTGTTAATGAGGGGTGCAGAGAACTATGCAGAAACATGCATGCACAGTTGAATACATGTCACAAACAAGCGGCAACATCAAGAAATTACACATGCAGCTGTAAAAATAACTGGAATCACTTACATGAACGTTGGTGGTCACTCCCACCAGCCCTCTGTACTAACACGGGTCATAGTCTAAATTAGTGTGAAAGGTCAAATTATTTTATGGCTGACATTTCACAATGATCATCATTGATTGAACAGTCATTAAATGTCATCTGTAATGAAATCTGGTTTGTTGATGTAACAGGATGGCATCTTCAGTATCATGACTGTCAAGTGTCTTTTCTAACTGAAGTGTCCACACTTGAAAAGGACCAGACTTCAGATTCCACTCAGAAAAGACTTATTTTGACCAGGTGAACAGGTACCAGTGACAGAATCAGCATCATGCCCCCCCCAACACAGGTAAGGTTAAGTATTTCAACAAAGTAGAAAGTATGTATATTTAGATTAGGTAAAAGTATTTAACAAGTGTTCAAACATTTTAATAAAAGGTTAACGAAAGAATATTCTTTACATTTTATCAATTTTAATTAAGCTTTAACAAAGGATTTTGGGTTACCATTTTAAATATTAATCTACACAAATTAGATAGGAAACCCATACTTTTTACCCATATAAATTTAAGCATTTGGGTCTTATCAGTTTACTATCACTTTAAGCCACGCAGTGACATTTTTAAGCTTTCCCCACAACATTAACACATTTAGCCCATTAAATACATTTCTACACCCAAACAGACAAAGATCCAAACGAGAGCTTACCGATAGCCCGTCACAATCAAAAAGTCCCAGTCCCTCACAGTGGATGCGTTTGTACTTCAGCCGTCCTCTCAGTCCGTCGCACCCTAGTGAAATGACTGATGTGGGTGTTTGTACTACGCTGATTGAACTGGGCACGAGCTTCTGATTGCCCCAATTCAATTCACCTGGTCGAGCGTGCGCCAGGGCGCGCACAGTCACGTGTGTATGGAAAGCCGTTTGAGCATTTATTCTAAATCCTGGATATCAAACTTTATTTGCATCTACTAGTTCGGTCTTTGCCAGAACTAGTTCGCCATTTTGTCAAACTAGTACACCAAAAGTCTCAACTAGTTGGCTTTTTGACGAACTAGTGGCCATCTGGACCGAACTAGTAAAGCACAAAGACGTACTAGTTAACTAGTGACCAGCAAAAGCTTTAACATGTTTACTAGTGGAACATAAATTCGGCTTACTAGTTAACTAGTGGGTGACAAATTTATGCACTAGTTAACTAGTGGGAGCTAAAATGCTTACTAGTAAACTAGTAAAGGCCAAAAAGTCCACTAGTAACACTAGTTGAGGCATTTTAGCTCATACTAGTTAACTAGTGAGGCGAAAATTGTTGTGCTAGTTAACTAGTACGAGCTAAAATGTCCACTAGTTAACTAGTTGACGCACTTTTGTTCTTACTAGTTAACTAGTTAACATTTAACATTTAACATTTAACATTTTTTACCTTACTAGTTAACTAGTAAGGTAAAAAATGTTAACTAGTAGAACATTTTTTGCCTTATTAGTTAACAAGTAAGAGCTAAAATACCCACTAGTTAACTAGCTAAAGTCTTTTGGACCTTACTAGTTAACTAGTAAGGCGAAAAATGTTTTACTAGTTAACTAGTAAGAGCCAAAATGCCCACTAGTTAACTAGTAAAAGCCTATTTTGATCGGACTAGTTAACTAGTGGGTGTAAAATTGTTTACTAGTAGAACTAGTGGATGCCAAAATGCCCACTAGTTAACCAGTGGAGCAAAATGCTAATAAGGGGGAGGGGAAAAGTGGACTTTGAGTCTTCCTATTGGATCTCCAGTTCAAAATTATAAATTTCAACCAAGCAGGACTCAGGATTTTGTGATAATCCTGCCCAATTCATTTGCATGTTGTGCACTAGTTAACATGTTGACCTGAGGAACTGCAACTAGTACTACTAGTGGCTTCTCTTTGCCGCCTACATGTTAACTAGTCAATGCAAAAATGTCTACTAGTTAACTACTTTTGTTCGATTTAGACCGTACTAGTTAACTAGTCAGACTTAAAATGTTTTACTAGTTAACTAGTGAAGGCCAAAATCACTACTAGTGCATAAAGAAATAATCAAACAATGGTTCAGCTATTTAAGCTGATGCATCTTAGACCTTACAAGTTAACTAGTAAGGTGAAAAATATTGCACTAGTTAACTAGTAAAGGCCAAAATGTCCACTAGTAGTACTAGTTGACGCATTTTTTTACCTTACTAGTTGACTAGTGAGGCTTAAAATGTTTTACTAGTTAACTAGTAAGAGCTAAAATGTTTACTAGTTAACTGGTTGATGCATTTATGACCTTAGTAGTTAACTAGTAAAGCCAAAAATGTTTTACTAGTTAACTAGTAAGAGCTAAAATGTCCACTAGTTAACTAGTGGAGGCTCTTTTGACCTTACTAGTTAAATAGTTCAACACAAATAATCGTACTAGTTCTTAAGACTTTAGCTAGTTAACTAGTGGGTATTTTAGCTCTTACTAGTTAACTAGTGGGCATTCTGGCTTTCACTAGTTAACTAGTACAACTATTTTTGCCTCACTAGTTAACTACTAAGAGCTAAAATGCCTCAACTAGTGTTACTAGTGGACTTTTTGGCCTTTACTAGTTTACTAGTAAGCATTTTAGCTCCCACTAGCTAACTAGTGCATAAATTTGTCAGCCACTAGTTAATTAGTAAGCCGAATTTATGTTCAACTAGTTAACACGTTAAAGCTTTTGCTGGTCACTAGTTAACATGTGCTTTACTAGTTCGGTCCAGATGACCACTAGTTGAGGCTTTTGGTCTACTAGTTTGACAAAATGGCGAACTAGTTCTGGCAAAGACTAGTACTAGTAACTAGTAGATGCAAATAAAGTTTGATAGCCAGGATACGGAATAAATGCTCAAAGGGCTTTCCATACATGCGGGCTGCTGTGCAGAGCGGCGCGCAGGTGAGACGGCATGCAGGAGGAGGAAATGAGACGGGCACACTGAAGACAGCCACACCTCCACCGGGTCAACGCGACAATGACTTTTTAAATACTGTTGAAAGAGGTCAGGACCATGGGCATTACAGAAATCTAATGTCTTAGAGTCTGGTGTTTAATTGATGTGTGTAAAGATGTGAAATAACCAATGGCTTCAACTAATTTGAGAGAGTTCACTTTAAAGTAGGATTATTAAAAGGGCTCTACATTTTTTTATGTTATGTACTAGACCAATCATAAACTGTCAATTAATATAAGTGATCTAGTGCAGGGGTATTCAATTAGAATTCAGAAGAGGTCCAGTTAGAGAAAATAGAGAACATCAAAACGACTAAGTTGCGTTATCATTTAGTACCATAATGTATAGTTGTATCAACTACCGATACTACCATCAACGTTTTTAGTCAACAACGGACCGTCAAATCAACCGTCAGTTTTCACATCAAACTGGAGGGATAATAAATAATAACTACTCTAATAAATTCTAAATTTCAGTAAATTAAAATAAAGTGTTTAATTTTTAGAAAAGATTTAATAAAAAGTGTAGCTTGAAGTGATGAAGTGTAGTCTTAACCAATTTTATAATAAACACTCAACACATCCTAACAAATGAACAGCTGTAGTGTCTCCTCTTCTCTTTCATTCCCTCTTACAGAACTACCACTTTCCTACTTTCTTTTGTTCAGTGAGAAATGTGAGCTCTAGTTTGTCCTGCCAGCTAGCATTGGAGATCTTTGAGATATTCTGGTTTTGAACTGCCCGTGGGAGGAACGTACATGTAAAAATCTGTACATCCTTGATTTAAAGCCATGTGAAATCTCTTTTGTGTGTTTCCAATCGTCTGGTGAATCTCGCAGACTCGACTTGCAAGCATTGGAATGCACAGATTTCATTGGCTGACAGTCACATGAGACGATTGGAGCATATGCAATTGGTCTGTAAGTTTCCTGGGCCGCTAAACCAGTACAGTAAATGCTAGAAAAGCTGCGTGGTTAAAATAGAAACGTTCCGTCACGATATAGTAAGTCTCAATAATAAAGTGGCTGTAGATTGGCGATCAAGAAGACAGCGGCTGGGTCCGGATCCGGACCGCGGTCCGCCTATTAGTGACCTCTAGTCTATTGCACAGCACCTGACCTATATTAGTCCCTTTACTTGAAATCCCCTTTTAATTCTCTCAAGTCATTGTTCCATTTATCCATGTTTTGTCACATGACTAAAATGCATCTAAGATCTCCTTACAGAGCCTACTGTATATCCACTGTGTGTTAATAACAGGTGACCCTTAGGCAACATCCAAACTAATATGTTATCATTTTAAAACGCATAACTTTTGCTAGATTTATGCCTAGCTTCCAGACTACTCCGCTGTTTTCGAACCCCTAAATGGAGACTTCTGAAAATGCTGCTGACCCCATTATTGTTTTAAAACCCTGGGATTGCATTTTATTCTGGACGGGAAGAGACTTTTGAAAACAATGAAGCAGACCATAGACTTGCCCCTGCTCTGCCTCTGATTGGCTATACTATTCCAGGCATCTGCTAAATGCTAACGCTTGCCTGGCTATGATGCTCACTATCCATACTATTCATACAAAGCTTCTGAACATCACTGGATGGTGACACACGCTGTGAGTACACTGCCTCACTGAACTTACTGATTTTTTATCACATAAGCGGCCATCTCAAATCCCATTCGCTATTGAACTTGCTACTTCAGGATATTGATTTGGGGACAATGACGTGGCTGGTAAACAGTAACTGTCAAATTTACTGTTTGTCAACTGTTGAAATCCTGCTAGCATAACGTTAGCTTTCTGGGCCAAAGCTGGTACAAACGGTCCTGTGAGCTGAGCGGACAAGAAATATCTTGTGTTGCCAACAAGTGTCCAAAGTTTGTTCTATTTACTGGAGTAATAAACAGTGTTTCCATTGCATAAGCTTATGGTATAGAAATAAGTGTTTCAGGTATCAGTTAAACCCTCAGGTGTTACCAGGGATACAGATTTATGGTCTTAATTTTTTTTCTTTGGCAAGTGACCATGGTATAAGGCGGACAATGCCCTTCCAAGTGTCCCTAATCTGGAATTAATCAACAAAGGGAAGGCCAGAACAGGCCTTTGCTGTGGACAATTTGTAAGGCATTATCCTGTAGCTACATAAACAGTTTTCATTCATCGGTAGCTGGGAACAGTAATGTGGCTGATACAGTCTTGTAATGCAGAGATGTATTGCTTGAATTGTTCAGTGTGAACAGACAGCTGGTAATGGCAAACTTAACCTTTAATTTATTATGCAGTATGATGTACATACTGATTCAGTACATACTGATATGGCCTAAATGTATGTATGAAAACAAAAGCAACATCTGCAGTATGAAAAAAACACTGTGATGTCCATAAGAAAAAAAAACGCTCCACTAATAAATCTCCAGTATGCATCATACTAATGTAAAAGCACTGCTTTCATTACTGATGTTGCAGACCTACACTCTGTTGTTAGTTTGAATAATTCTATTTGTGAGCTAGTGAGGATTTATGGCAGCAAGACATTATGTAGGATTGACTGCAGTGGTTTATTGTTTCTTGGTCAACAATGGAGATCTATGTCACAGACGAATAAGCTATTTTAGGCTTTGGATACACAATACTTGTTAGAAGGATGTTTATTATATATACTAAAAATATCGACTATTGCCAGACTATGTACTGAATTTGTATTAGATAAAACAACAGGTGAAAAAGGAGTCAGTATATTCATATTCTGGATATCTCATTCTGTATAGTGATAAAGGCATGAGGGTGAAGTCCTAAAAAGTGAGCCATGTGCAGACTGCATTATTCATGCAGGACTCCCTGCACTCCCAGCTCTGCAATCGCTGAAGAGCTTGTACCTCAGCTGATGAAAGATCTAGCTATGATGACACATGGTGGTACATTGCAGGCGGTTGTGTAATAATCAGAGGGATTCACTGGCTGTCCTTTGCAGCTGCCACCCTGCCCAGTGGAGGGAAAGGTGCCAGCACAGGGGTCCATCAGCCAACTGCTGCTCTGTTTCAAGTGCACTTTCCTGGAAGGAAGGGAGTCACTGAACAAGAGCAGAACAGGCTGTGCTATTCCTATATAAAAACTGGCCTATTAAATTAAAATATGCTTCTGGTAGAATTATGTCATGCCTAATTCAATGTCCTTAAGAGAGGTTAGTACTAACATGACCTTTGTTATATATATATATATATATATATATATATAGTAGTGTTGAAAAGTGTTTGCCCCCTCAGAAATTTAACTCGGCTTTCCAAAGCTTCTTATTCGTTTTTGCATGTTTGTCACACTGACATGTTTCAGATCATCAAACAAATTCAAATATTAGAAAAGGGTAGGACAAATAAACACAAAGTGCAGTTTTTAAATGAAGGTTTATTATTATTAAATACAAACCTACATGGCCCTGTGTGAAAAAGTGATTAACCCCCCTGTTAAAACATAAATAAACTGAGGTTTATCACATCTTTGGAAAGCTGAGTTAAATTTCTGAGGGGGCAAACACTTTTTCACAACACTGTATATAGGCAGTTAAAATTTTGACAGCTCTTCGAGATGAGTAACAAGTGCTGAAGTATAAATTTGACTGACGCAGAGGAGGGCGGTAGTATTAAATATGTTTTGCTTCCACAAGGGGGAAATAACTGATTTCCATCAATCCTTTCTGCACAATTTGCAGACGTCACTGTTCAAATGTCTCAACATGCCCGTTGTCAATTGTAACATGTAATTAAAGTGACACCTTGACGATTGATCAAATGACGATAAAATTGGATAATTATGTTCATCGTAGTCTACTTTAATTACAGCATGTTCAACCACTCTTTGCTTGAGATTAAGGTCAAATAGAAAGTTTGAAAGTGGCCATCTAGTTGGTGTGGTTGTGAACTCCATTCAATCATTATTGCAAATCTAAGTATCCATGCGAGGACTTCTGCTTGTGTGCATATCTTGTGTTTTACCTGACCGGATCAAACTAAATGAACTAAATTATTATTATTAAAACAGTGTGCACTGTTTTGGCTGTAGAGGAGGGTAAACCTAGATATCGGTTACTACTTGTTTATTCACAGCATAATTAATAACATAAATCTGCCTGACGTGAATTCATAGTAATGTCAAGTAATATTGATTGATTAAAAGCAGTTGTTGCCTTTAGGAAGTCAGCAGTTACTTTACATTACCATTTATTATTACATTGTAGTGCTTATATAATGATGTAGCACTAAAATTATAGCTTTTATACTCAGTATATGGATTTCTACATGAGTGACATCTTTAATCAGCATCAATCTCTCCTTTTCATCATACCCAAACACTGCAGTGCTAGCCTCAACCTCAGTCTATGGCTTGGACTCCAGAATTGCAGTGGTGTAAATGTTCCTTTGCACCACTTTCTGACAAGTTGTGGAAAGGAACTTTACTCAAGCACTGTACGTAAATGCTGATAAAGAATAAACTATTGGTTTGGAGCATTTATGGCAAAAAAGTAGTATCTTGGGGCTTCTTGTCTATACATAACTATACATAACAATAGAAAATATCTACATGTGCTTTTCACATGTCTCGTTTGTGGGTCCTAAAATAAATAAAATCACATGTCACATTTCAAATGTATAAAAATTATTAACAGTATCACCAAAGAGACATTTCCCCTCAAAGGTTCTCAGCGTTTTCATGTAAATAACTGTTAAGTCCTAATAGGTACATTTTTTAAATATTTCAAACACAAAAAAAGAAAAACAAACAAAAGAAAACCAAAGATTGGAGAAAATGTCCCCCCCCCCCCCCCTTCTTTCCTACCCCATTAATCATCTCACGACCCCTTAATGACCATTTGGTAGAGGCCCAACTGTATCTAAAATAGTTAAAACTAGCTTCACCTTGTCTGTGCATAATCACACCAATCTGTAACAATATAGAATGCCACCCAAATATTATATAAATAATACATAATAATGATGAACCTATGCACACTGATAAATGCAACCATTTTATTGTAAAATTCCACAGCTATGTGCAATTCCCTTATGAAAAGGATTTTTTCCAGTACATATATAGTATGTTATGCAGACCCTAATAGAAGTGATCAGCCCCCCCCCCCCCCCCCCCCCCTTTTTTTGACAATACTGAAAGATACATAGATGGCAAACGACTAACATATTATATGTATGGGGATAATATGAAATGTATTTTGTTCCTTGATACCTTTTACTGAGCTCTCCAATTCCAGTGCACATTATTTTGTTTTCTGCAGTTTTACAACATACATGACAATAGAAAATATCTACATGTGCTGTTGACATATATGTAGGTCCCAAAATAAATAAAATCACTTTGTCAAATATAAGTACAGTGTAATAAAAGTCCATGTCAATGCTGGCAAAGGACTGAGACCAGATGAAGCAATCCTTGAATTTTTCCAAATTCTTCAAAACATCTGTTTGTCTGAAAACATATTCAACATGCACATTACTGAATATAAAACACACTTCAGTATCTCCCATTCACCTTTGTATCTCTCCATTTACAGTAGAGTGCACAAAAATATAATTAATAAATAATTAAACAAGCTTTTACTATTATGGAAAAAAATACCATGAAGTGTGTTTGTTTTCTGCACCACTGTTCAAACACAAGACATGCTTGGTTATCAGTACGATGGGTTTGTAAATAAATTCATATACAAGCTAAATCAGAAATTTCTTCCAGTTCACCCTGATACAATAATTATTTTTTATTGTTCTGTTCTACATTTTAACATTTGTTCTCATGCTTTTGGTTCTGTACCATATCAAAAAACAAACAAACAAAAACACCAAATATGTCTGAGGGGTCATCACTGTGGCCAACATTCGTTATAAAGCATTTCCTTCCAAGAAAACATTCACTTTTAGCATATGTTTTGTCTTCCACAATGTAGTAGTGGGTACATAAATGATATTATAGTTTGATATTCTCTATTGCATGTGTGTCTGTTTGGCACTTTATAAGATGTGATCATTCTTTCACACTTTTTTAAACTACTGAACACTGATGATGACCAGTCTACATTGCTATTGTTCACACGTACGTCCCTAAAGATGTGAGAGATGTGAGTATGTGCACACTGAAGACAGGTTTAGACTACTAAGTGGCAGCTTCTGATCACAAAAGAACCACCATTAAATACAAAAGGGAAAGAACTTCAGGAAATATGAGATAATCTGGTAAATGCATATGTTAGTATCATCACTTATGCTTTATTAATGATGGCAAATATCAAGACCAATGAAAACTTGTGGCGGTGGAAAAAGTGTAAATAATTAATAGTCACTTAGACAAGCAAATATTCTTCTTCTGGTGGCTTGGGAACAGTTATTTTTTTTGTTTTTTTTCCCCTAAGAAAAGTTTACTACTCAGAAGCTGCACAACAGGTAATGTTGCAACTTACTAATTCAACAGATATAACAAGTTTGACAGGCCTTTGTGAGAGTAGTGTACATCAATCACAACATAGAAAACACAAGATAAATAAGCTCAAGCTCCATTGACACATCAAACAAAAATGTCTCTTTGTTATAAATGACAGCATTCTGTGTTTCTTTTCAGGGGCTATATGAACATAAAATACATTTTCTTTCAATAAAATAAATAAATAAATACCATCAATGAATAAATAAATAAATACCCCATTACCCCCAAGTATTCTACACGGTTCAGTCCAGCATAATACAATAAGTCTAGTATACTGTATGATGATATACTGTAACTATGCTGAAATTACAAAATATATACCCTTTTACAAAATCCCAAGGGCTTGACAAGTGTTTTCTTCCGTTTATAATTTATGTACATAAACAATGTGATTTACACCTATTCCTTGTGAGTTTACACTTCATACTGAAGCACTGTCTCCATTTGTTGCATACTGGTGTCTATCAAAATTGATCTGTTAGGGGCTGTAATTCAAGACTGTTATACGTTATCTTACACAACATTTACAGTTCAGATATTTTCGCTGTGTTCTCTGCTCTCCTCACGCAATACTGCATTCAAAGGAAATTTGAATGGGAAAAAAGTAAAAAAAAAAAAAAAAAAAAAAAAAAGGAATATTCTGCCCAATATGTGATCATTTACATTCCCAATGTGGTTCTTTTCAAAGAGACAAGAATTGAGCTGCTTGATTATAGGCTTCCACATCTGTTCTTGACACAAGCTGATCATTTTTTTACTAAAATGAAGGTCTTAATTTATTATCAATTCATATTTTTGTTTGTTTTGTTGCTCATTTTAGAAAGATGACATAATGAACCCTATTTAACTGCAGGGATTTCAAAATACCCTGCAGCTGTCTCAATAGACATTTGCATTAAAGTGTAGATTAGTCTGAATTCCTCTATTTGAAGGCAACACTCAGCCTGGTTATGCAGTTGCAGTTATCACTCTGCTAATGTAAAGAGCAAAAAAATATTTGTTTTTATAAGAAAACCTTTTTTTTAGCCCAGTTTGTCTCGTAAAAGCTTGCATAACCAAAATACAACAGCAGTGTGTCATTATGGAAATGCTCGCTTTTAACAGCAAATGGAGAAGAGGATGAGAGGTCAGTGTTGTCTATACTGTAAGCTAATGGCTGCGAGGAAAATGATTAAACCAGTCGCTTTGCCTGAAACTCTGGGCTGATCGTCCCACCTGTATGCAAAGACGATTCCTCAACTTAAAAACATAAACTGGGCGCATTTTTATCATTAAAATTTCAGTTTTCCTAGAAAAAAGTATAATTAAGTCCTGAATGATAATCAACAATGCTCATTTTTTGTTTCCATAGCCAACAATAGAAGACCATAAAACCTGTGGATTTCTGGCCTGAAAGGTGCATGCAATAAATGTAAACCACTATGTAATAGTAAAATATATACAGTTTCTGTACAGTTGAGCATTGTCCATAAACAGCATCTTCTCTTTCTGACCACACATGAAAAATACAATGTCTAATTGTACCAACATTTAAGCTAAATCAATTGAAAATAAATTAGCATCGTCAAAATGAATTGTAATGTCACTGTCTAATACAGCTCTATTAAAGTGCATCAGATTTTGTGTTTTAGCATGTTGAAAAAAAGTGAAAAAAAAACCCAAGTGAAAATAAGTGATAAAACACAGTTAATGTCTTTTAGAGTTTTCTGATAGGCATTTGCTGTGATCTGAATTGCTATTTATTTAAGCTGTTTACTATGCAAGGAACACATTTGTCTAAAAATAAACAATGGGTAAAAATCCCATTGAGAAGAAATTAACAGGAAATTCCAGATAAAAGGTCTAAAATAAAATCATGAACACAAAAACTAAACTAAGATTCTTGTTAATTGCTCACACAATCGATGCTTTCACAACACATCTACAAACCTCTTCATACCAGTTAAATGTAATGCTACAACATTTGCAATGTCTGTAAAAGTTATCAAATGAGAGATTAAAACCAAGGAATTAGAGGAAATGCTTTGAATCATATCGTTGGGTGTTTCAGTGGGTCCCCTCCTTCAAAATGTCCCTTGCTGCCGCAGAGCATATGTAGAATGTAATGAACTGTATGATTAGGCTGGCTCCACACCCCGGCCTAGAGATATAGATAGGAAACCCAGTAGACCAGGTTGAAAAGACCAAAAGCAGTGGGGAAGAAGATGCGTGCATACGAGTCTATCTTGGCGATGCGGATGTGCAACCTGCCGTGCCGCCAGGCTCCGGAGCGGCAGTCTTCGAAACAGCAGAAGAAACTGGTGCAGTCCTTCCCGTCCAGACACTCATAACCGTACTCCTCGTCTCGCTCCTGCATATGCGTAGCGTTGTTCATCTGAATGGCTGTGGCAGAGCGTGGACGGATGTCTACCGTGGGTGTCTGCTTTTAACAGGAGAAAATGAGACAATTAGCCATCAGAGCGCCAAATTGTAATTTGCACCTTCAACTTGCAAATGGACCCTTTTTTAAAGTCATAAAAATACATATAGACCTATAATTACCACCTGTGGTTGTAATTAGAGAGGCGCATATTGACAAAGGGTAAGTCCCCATGGAACCCATGATGCAAATTACGCCTTTGGGCTGGGGTATAGCTGGCGGCTAAAGGCAATCATAACATTTTTAGTACAACAGTCCATATTGCTTTATTTAACAGCAATATTAAGCTAGTGCTGGGCAATGTGATTATGCTATTGCTGCTGCACAACATTCAAAAACACTGTAGTAAACAGATGACTGTGCGTCATTTGTACAAAAATTACAGTTTTTTAAAATGTTTTAATGCCCAGTGACTCAACAAATGTCATAATTTGGACTTATATGGATGTTGTAAGCAATTTTTCTGAAATACATTTATAGGATATGTTGTAACTGGCTTATAATGCATCATAAAGACAAGCTTAGGGAGGAGCATGTGTTGGCAGATGTGCAGCACCCAGCTCAAATTTCCTCCAGCCCACTCTTTCTGTCACTAAATGGGTTAAAATAAACCTTCTTTTCAAACTGTGCTCACCACTGGAGGGCACATGCCTTTCATTTGTGAAGTTTCCTAAAATAGGACAGTGACATCAATGAGTCTGTGGCCCTGTCATTCTAAAGGCAGACAGTTAGTATTCAAACAGACCATTTTCATCAGCTTTTATCTTGAAATACCATGCCACCTTTGCACAAATTGGAATTCTGGCTGTTTGGCAGATTAAATGCTCACCCTCCCCCCATTGGCAGAAATGGAATGCTCCTTGACCTTGCTGATAAACTAGGGTGTCAAGCTCATTATTTAAAAAATACGCAGCAAGCCGAGCATACTCCAAAGTTCAACTTCTAAGAATTTCACATCACCACTTTCCCTCAAAAAAGTGCCAGTAGCTGTCATTTAAGTTGTTCTTTATGTTTTGTATTTATAACAAAGGAACAATAATCTATAAATGGCTGCATAAACACTCTTAAAATGTTTTTCAGCATATATTTATGCTCTGTGTTGTGAGAATATGAAATACTTGTTAATATTAATCAGTTCTCTTTTAATTGCAACAATCTCAAAACACTAAATACTTATTTTTTCTTTTGCCACATTCATATTTTTTGCCCCCAATTTTATGTATCTACACTAGACATGCTTTTTGCAAATAAAATTAGGTCACTGCAGTTTTAGTTTGAACATATCATTATCTGCTGTAAGCATGCATCCTCAAACAAGCTTAAAATTCTTAAACTTGATTGAACTGTTCATTCCCCAGAACTTCTCATCTTGCCCAGCACTAGTGCACAAACCTGTTATCCCTTTGAAAACCATACATAACCCCACACAAAACAACATACGGGTTAGTTTCAGCATTTTTGTCCTTATTAACGGACAGTATGTTGCATTAATGAGGGGATTAGCAGAACAGGTTATGACTCAGTTCTCAAAGGGGATTGGTTGCACTGGAGGAAGCGTAGTGAAAGCTCAGGCAGAAGGAGCATTAAAAGCATCCTGCCGCGTGGCCTGGTCAAGCTAGGCTGTGCTGAGTCGGTGTTAGCAAAAAAATAACATAAAACAACAAAGAAACAACACAGTGGCATTGGCAACTTTAACTGGCTGAAGGTAGACAACCTCTCAGAGAAGACAAAAGGCGGAAACATTCAGGATCATTACTGGAGGATCCCTTGGGTATCTGCCTGAAGTTGAATATGTGGTGGTAGTGTTTAAATACTGCAGGTGGATTTTTCAGCAGTACATTTAGACTCATGTCTAGGCTAAATCTAACTTATCAGACCTTAAAAATATTTCTCCTAGTAATATATTGATGTGGACCTCTATGTGGAAAAGCAGATTATCTTGTTAGGTTAAATTTAGATCTTTGCTAGCGCCCACCCACCCTGGATGCTTTTTGGGTGTTTGAGGATTAGCATATGTTAATCTTCTGAATGGACCTCCAACTCTAATTAGACTTAACACAGTGCAGGGATTGTCTGTTTCAGTCTGTTAAGGCTCTGCTGACTCTGTAGGAAGCGTCAGGTTGAGAAGCCCAACAAACACATAGGTATATATTTACTGGCAGGAGAAAGGAAAGACGAGGAAGCTATTGCAGCGGCTGCTAGTTCACTGTGGTTACAACAACAACAAAGAGTGAAACAGGACAGAGGGAGCCAGAATGAGTCCACAGTGGGCCTGGACTATTATATTCCTCTGGACACGGGATGTGTGGGATGCTTATTTGAATTTTAAAAACTGCATAAGTATGTCTGGCTGGCTGCCTCCGCACTGTGCACTGCAGAGCGCCCCCTTTTAATGTTATATCTGAAACCTATATAGTAACTGATGAGGAGTACAGTAAGAATGCAGGTAAAGAGGGGACAGAGAGAAGCCTATCTGTTGTAAAACAGAAAAAGCAGTGAGTTGCTGGGGGCTCAAAGAGCCAAAATGCAGCAGACACATGCAGTCAGACACAGGCAATATACCTTTGAGGAAAAGAGCCGGAGGAGCTTTTGTCCAGACAGGAAACAAAGAATATGTGGAATTGAAAGAGAGTAACAAAAAACAAAGAATACATGTAAACAGAGAATGAAAAAAAAAAACGTAAATAAAAAGATAAATAAAGAGAAACACAAGATAATGTGTGAAATTCAGAAGCACTGTACTGTCTAACACAAAATGGAAAGAGAAGAAATATACTGTAGAGAGACATACATGTTACAAACAGACACAGGGGGAGATGCATGGTGGGATATATGTATCTCACATGCTTCTTACGTCAGGATTACCTTAGGAAAAATGTTACAGATGCAAAACTAGAGAGATTAAACACTATCCATAAGGCAGAGGTAAAAATCTCCCTGCGAGTGCGACATAATTGCATTTTCACATGGAAACATTGTTCTTACACAGCACTTCATCAAGTATCTTCACTTCTAGCACATGCAATTTAAGAAATGCTGTGGTAATGTACAGTATTCTGACATACACAATCTGATACGGAATTGTCCCTCTGTATTTTAAGACTTAGATTGCGTGGAACCAAAACAGCTTATAAGTAGTAACAGAAACTCTTGAAGTTCCATATTTATATTTCCCCTCGATTTCCTTCTCCACATTTTTAACAATTCAAAAACATCAAAAGAATTTCAATCAAAAGCCTCCTTTTCTTGCATACTTCCTTCCCACAGAGAATCTAAAAAAGTCTCTCTGACATGGCACACTGGCATCACACCTTCCACATCATTAGTCATTCATTTTTCCATGAGACAGTTAGACCATGTGAAAAACCTTAGTTACAGTGGCTGAAACTAGAACGGCCCACTTTCCTCCGAGCTCCAGTTCAATACTCCTGTTCATCCAGGCACAGTATACTTGGAGGTTTGAGATTTAATATCTTTCAAGTCCAATTCCCAAAAAATACCATGCCTGCAAAGATGGATTTCAATTCACCTATAACCCTTTAAAAAAGCATGGCAACTTTAGTTATCCAAAAAAACTAAAAGCATAAAAACGTAGACTTTTTCCACTAAGTAGACTTCAAGTGGTAGATTTAATCTAATCTTCATTCAAAATCTTAATTTCTAGAACCATAATCCAACACTATCTGATAAGGGAGAAATGCTAGTCTTGCTGTCGAGGGGAAATGTACTCAGCTACGAGAGATCATGGCCCTTCAACCGAGCTGCCCTGACCTCTTGAGGGATTTAAAGCTCACGAGGGCAACTCTCCTGTCACGTGACATGGGTCCAAATTACAACTGTAACAGATGTGTGGCAGATTAGGAAAAGGTTCGAGCTGCATGCCTCGCTCATTGAGTCATTTGACTTGGAGAACTGGGAGATGCTCCCTTACGGATGTTAAGCAGTGTATAGATTTTCTCTAAGGCTTAGTATTGTAATACAGTGGAGGAGGGACAGAGAGTTTTCAGGGAGTTCTTGACCTTTCACCTAAATAAAGGATACTATAAACACTGTAAAGATATTACACAAAGAGTACATAAATCAAAATAATGTTTGTAGCTACCTCGTTAAATTGAGCAACTTTTCTGTCAAAAGCATAAACTTCAAGAAATATATATTAAAAAAAAGTTAATTTCAGTTAGTTTTAGAAAGACGCTCACCGGGTTTTTCTTCTTCTTGTCCTTTTTGGCACTCGGCTTCCTGTTGCTGACAAAGTAGTGCAGCGTGCCATACTCTATAAGCGCTGCAAAGACGAAGATGAAGCAGACAGACACAAAGAGGTCCATGGCAGTCACATAGGAAACTTTTGGAAGGGATTTCCTGGCAATTGTACTCAGCGTGGTCATGGTCAGCACAGTGGTGATACCTGGTAGTGACGTCGGAGAGAGCAGAGAAAATTAGATCTGGTTCAATGAAATCAAACAAGAAAGTTCAGTTATACTGTACTCTTTTGCACTGCTGGATAGATCTCAATGGTGTCATTTCACATTCTGCATTACTATTTCAACTAAAACAATTCCCTAGAATTTGCATTATGTATTGTAACAGTAATTTCCCTACATCAAAATGTTACGCTGCCTGTCTTAAATTGTGTCTTGTCTGTTGTTAATATTAGTGTGCCATACTGTTCATTATAATATCAACAAAAGACAACACAAAGCTGAACAAGAGTTTGCTGCTCACAGCTTTGAACAAGAATAAATTAATATATTAATAGACATGAAATCATGTCACATAAGTCCATATATATATATATATATATATATATATATATATATATATATATATATATATATATATATATATATATATATATACACACATATACATATATGCACATATACATATATAGCCCTTGTCAGTTACACACCCATGAGGAAGGAGTGAGCAGCTGTTTTCTGTTTTACTGTCCCCTTGCTCCACATACTTTACGGTTTAGCTGCCACTGACCACCACACTGACACACTGAATTTCTTTATCCACCATCTGGTAACCCTCTCCCCTTTTACTCATGGAGGCGGGGTGACGGGCATATGACGAGAAAATGCGTTTGTAAGTACACCGAGCAGATTAGCAACAGCAGGGTCACAACTCCTAAACACCAACAAACAAGCAGCTAACAAGACCACTTCGTCCTTTAAATAGACCATACATGTAAAGAGACGTGCCTTGTGAAGAGGAGATGATTAATGTCTAAATTTAATGTGGACTGAAAGACATCAGTCTGCGTCAAGATTACCATTGCAGCATTGTGAGTGAATTGATATATTTCTGGATGGCATTGAAGGATTAAGAATTATGTCATCTGTGCTAATCCGCTTCCTAACCACCTGGCTTCCTGTACCTCCCGCGTCATCTTTCAAAGGAAATTAAGACATTTGACTCTTGGTACAATTTTAGCAGGGAATTAATAGTGTTATTATTTCGACTGCAAATCATGTCTGGGGCTGCAGAAGCAGGAGAAAACAAACACAACCTATTTTTAGAGAGATTAATGATGGACAAAGTAATGATGATAGTGAGGTAGAATGAGGGTTTCTGCCCACAGGATTGTTTTACGTTCAGATGTGCTCACTAATGATCACATCACATGGACTTGAGGTCAGGATTTAGAGCCTTAAGGGGCCAAAACTAAAGCTGACTAAGGTATATGTACATAACTGCATCACAAGTGAACTTTTGAGTTTGTCCACTGGACGCCAAGGGCAAGTTCAAAAAAGTGAGGATTTCCTTGAAATCCTCACTTTTTGCCCTCTTTTTTTCATTCCTTGCCCCTTTATTGCATGCATTCAAGAGGCCACCTCCATTATTATTGTGCTGAGGCTGCATCTCTACATCTCCCCTGCTGTACTGCATAATTAATGTCTCATTATGGCATGCATGAAAACATATGTGCCAGGATAGGCTCTTCTAATCAAGATGGACTAGATTCCTAAGCAGCTGCCCTGTCTCAGAGGGGGAAAAGTGGAGGAGGAAGGATGGTGAAGGATTAGACAAAAAGAAAGGAGAGAACCGCAGTAAAGAGGAGGCTTAAGTGGGCTGGTGGTGTGTGACCACCACAGGGTTTTTGATGTGTTTCATTGCAGGGAGTAATTAAGGCCAGGAATGCTAATGAACCTCAATAGTATAACTGCAGCATTTGCATGTTTGGGCTAGGTGGACAGGTTATAAAAATGAACTAAAGCAAAGGCTTGATGAGCAGTTACAGATAAGCGGGTTATGGAGAATTGTATAAAAAGTAATTGGTTCTGCTACCTGACATTTTCCTTTATTCATTTAAAACAAATAATCATAATCTTGTGGCAAAAATAACTTTTCTTTTTACCTAATGATGTCCTGGCAGGTACTGCATCCTTGTTGATCCAGAACGATACCCAGGAGAGGACAACAATCAGGGTGCATGGGATGTAGGTCTGAATGGTGAAGTAGCCCATTCTCCTGCTCAGGTCAAAGAAGACGGTCAGCACCACGTAGTCTCCTGGAGAGGGTTAAATAACAAGAGAAAAGAAAGGGAGTGAGGGCATTGTGGAATGTATGATAAAACATAAGTTATATCGTGTTTATATGCAGGATATAATTCACTTTATTACATAAGTGTAAATAAAGTTATTTGTCTTGAGTATTGATGTTCACAGTCTCTACTAGAAAACAAGGTCAACATGACATGTAGTTCACTAAGAAAGTTAAACATGTACTATAGGAGGTAGCCAGTATACCCAGATGACTAAATCATTTCACATTATCTCACTCCGATCCAAAAAGGTTGTCAACACACCAAACATAGATTAAACTAACTGTTAAGTCATGGACAGATCAGTACATAATGTAGTGTAACCAAAATCTTCACTGTATGTTTGCCCAAGGCAACGCAAGATCTAAAATGAAACGGAGCGATTCAGAGAGCTGGAGCCAGACTTGCTCGGATACACACAAACCCTGGTCTCCTGCCAGTCGTTAGCTGGAACATGAACACTTCCAGCTGATGATGAGCCGTCCCTGTGCTGGCTGTCTGTCTGACCCCAGCAGATGTTAAGAGGTTGAGGTTAGCTGAGCCCAGATCGACCTGACCCCGGCAAAATGGATCATCTGGCCTGTCTGTTTAAATATGTGAGATGGCATGCATGCACACGGATGCACAAACGTGTGCACGTACCCTTGCAAGGAGGGTGAACTGAACCAGGACCAAACAGAGAGACAGGTGTGCAAAAAAGCACAAACTCATCAAACACACACACACACACACGTTCCAGTAGCATCCCCTGCCAGCTTGACAATTCAGCAATGCTTGCCAATAGTTACTGTCCTCTTTCCTATGTACCTGTCTGTCTGTATCTCCGGGTTTAATGGCAGTTCACTGCTGGCCTCCAGCTCAGTCACTGTCTGCTAATTGATTAACATCAGACTGTTAACAGTGTCGGAAACCTCCCCTGGCCTCTCGCTGTAACTTGTAACCTGTAGGGCACAAACCTATCCTCTCTCAGCCATGTATCTACAGCATGTGTATGTGTGTGTGTGTGTGTGTGTGTGTGTGTGTGTGTGTGTGTTTAAGCACCCACAACACATGGAATACGCTCTGCAGCTGGGGACTGAACAGCTGGCTAATAATTTTCCTCACGAGAAAGGGCGCACAACACATACTGCAGTTTATTGAAAAACAGCCAACATCTGTGTATTTGTGTGTTAATGAGCGACAGGGAGAGGAAGAGATGAGGCTGTCATTGTTTATTATGTCTGTGAACGTGTGCGCTCTGTTTGACTGAGCCCTCGTAGTGTCTGGAAGCAGACCAAGTCTTTGTGATTTATCCCAGCATGCACCTATGTTCACCCAGCCATTGATAGCATCATTAAATAAACCAAGTGCAATAACCCCAGTAGCACAACCATAACTGTTCATATCGCCATGTGTTTTCTGCTGATGCAGGCAAGCGCACGGTATATTACAGTGCTCTGCCTCGGTTTGTACGAGTACAGGAAACACAGGAAGACTGATCTCAGGGGCCCCACAGCCTGTTATTTTGTATTTATTAACATTCCATTAGCAGGGGCCCAAAATCGAGACCCCTGACAGCTGAGAAACTGCCGGTTAATACACTTACTACAGCCTGGTCAGCAGCACAAAGCCTCCTTCACATTACCTCAGACTCTTAATGATAATGGGATTCCCACCACAGGGGTGAGGTCGGCTGGTGCAAGAACCTAACGCCACACGCCTCTCTTCGTGTGTTCGCCAGTTTCATTAAGGGCTACAGTGCCTGCCAGGAAGCCCCTTTGAGGAAGTGTTATCGACCGATGCCCTCCATTCTGGCAGTCTGATGTATCTGTATCAACCCGCCTGCTATTATGACTCTGTAGTAATGCATCAGCTTGATAATGACTTCCTGATTCCACTCAAAACAAAATGGTTTCCAGTTCACTCGCTGGTTTAAGTGTTTGGCCGGGATTTTACAACATTACCGTATGGGGAGCAAATCGTTTAGTGCTCCAGATAAACAGCCCAACACAATTAGTGGACTGTGCGAACACTTTACATTTCACAGTTGTGTTTTACATATTGATACTTGAATCCCTGCTTGACTTTTAAAGTGTTTTTATTTTTCTCTGTCATCTTTTAAATGAATATGTTTTTGTATGTAAGAAAAGTATACAATCCTGGTGAAAACTTGTGCAGTCCATCTGTGGGGGTGGATCGGAGGGTAGCGGCGTGTGCAAATCTGTATTGCTACCACAAGGTGTTGCCAATGTCAGACACTTGGGAATCCTATGCATAGGGACTTTATATATTAATAGAACCCCAATTGTAAAAAGCAGTTTATCGAGCTGTCCCTCTGCGTCTTCACTTCAGATCACGTAGCTTACATCTGTACAACTGTATCCATACTGTATCCATTACTGTGTGCGTCACCTCAGCGAGCCTAAAACCTCCAAACATACAACTAATTGTTGTTTTGTCTTGTTTTTGTTGTGAGTTTAATTAGAATAAGTTCACATGTGTACGCCTGTGTGTGGAATTAAAGGTCCCTTTCTGCCCTGTCTCAAGGACCAATTCATAAAAGATATTGCGCTAATGATATTAGAGCGCAAACACGCCCATAAATTATTATTATTATTATTATAAAGTTTTGCAGCTAAGTGCAATTTGCCATAGTTTTGCGTCTGTTATTCATCTGCAATTTTCTGTCTGAGAGTAGACATTTGAGTCAGAAATTGTTATAAATGGAGCTGCGAGAACAAAACTTTCAACTCATATGAAACTGCTAGATTTAAAAGAGAATGTCTAATTATCTATTAACTCCCCCCTCTTCTTACATTCATTTCTATCTGCAGGATGTCTCTCGTTTTTCTATGACTCACTCCGTATTGGCTGTTTCATCAGAGTGATTGTTTTTTGAGGTGCTCTAATTGTGCGCTCCCCCTTACGTGTCTGGGCTCACTGAGAGCTGTTTTCTCTATTCTGCACTGGACTGTTCCAGTGTGTAACCATCGTCTCCACTTCTCACAGGAGTAGGTTTTATGTTAGTTTCCAGTTTAATTCCCTTGTGGTGAATATCAGGTATTGTTCTGTCTGTGCCATTTGTGTGCATGATGGACTATGATGCGCTAGTGCTTTGCCTGGCTACAATTACCACTGCCACGATCACTGGAAAGTCTGGGTGTGACACCCCTTATAAATGCCCTTCAGTTATCACCAACTCTCCGAAGACACTCTTAACTGCATGTGGCTATTAGCGCTGGTGCTTGTGAATTGGACTTCTTTCGCAATGAGGCTCATTTCATAGAAAGGGTGCATATTACCACGTTTAAATATGTGCAAATAGCACTGGGCCGCTATTTGCTCGGCAGTGCAGATAGGGGTGCATTTCACCCTTTGAGAATTACATGGTTTATTTTTGTCATATTTGTGCAGGTTTAGACGCCACAAAAGGTGAGCAATACTTTTGTGAATTCACCCCTCAGAGTTCAGATGTCTTTCGAGGCCTCCCATTTGGCCGCTGCTGTTTTCTTTGCTTCTTTGTTATCAAAATTCCTCAAAGTTGAGATTTGTCCAATCCCATCATCTTATTATCAATTCAATCCCTTCCTTTCTGTTCATAATTCATTAGGGAAAAATGCTGATGACAGCTGTATGAAAAATCAACCATGCAGACAACAGCTCCAAACTATTGTTCGTATTAAGATATGGTTTAAGTATTTTTATTAGGATCACACATTTCTCTGGCAAAAGCAAATTACTACAAGCTGATGTAATCTACGGAAAGCAATAAAAACTTGGCGGGGATGATCATTCACAAAACAAAACAGTGTTGCTTTGTTGTTAAAAGCCGCAGAGACAGACACTCACACAGTGGTGGTGGTGGGGGCCTTCTACTGTTGTGGAAATACAGATAAAGATGGATGTTTCATTATTATTAGAATACAGAAATTGTTATAATAATCTGTATTTGCTGGGAGAGTATTGAATATGCGAGAAGAAATGTCGATCCCAATGTGGCTGTACATTATTGCAGAATAGCCACAGCGGAGTTCATAGGAATGAAAAATGGTAATTCAGGATTGCTGACCAGAAGTTTAAAAAACAAAAAAAACTGTCAAATGAGAATATCGTTCTGCTGGCAGCTAGGCTGTAAATTGGTGTGGATATGGAAGGGCAGGAGAGACCTGAGGCACATGCTGGCTATCCAATGAAGGGAGACGAGCCAGACACACTGTAGAGCTGCTGACATGCTGTCATATTGAGCTCCTCTCCTGTCAAGGGTCATCTATATCAGAGGTGACAGTGGATACTATTGTGCATGTGTGTATAGACAGGAGTTTTGCTAATGACCAGGGTTATGCTATGTCTGTTTGGCAGGGTCAACAATACTTACAGAGAATGTTAACTCACCACTTTCTGTGGCATTACTTGGGGCTATATGCAAGTGATTAACTAGCTACAATGGCTTATCATTTTGCCTCCACAGGCTACTGCAGCTATTCCTACCCGTCAGTGGGTGGGATGATGATGTCATGGCAAAAAAGGCACAGCATTGTCATGGCTAGTAACTGCGGCAGTATGATTAAACACCAGACATGTCTGCAGTTTGATTTCCTTGTTGTTAACATTGTGTTACAGAGACAGATGATTGTCCCTCTCTCAGACACACTAATGGTTCTCAAATTATTGAGAGCAAGGCTATTTATGGGATTCACAGCATGTAGTGAGTAGCTGCCAAAACTGTTTTCCTTACCATTATTGGGAGAGTTTAAGAGAAAGTGGAAAAATTAGAAAGTTAAGTTTTAAAGTATCCTTTTAGCAGATGATATCACATACTGTAATTTGGGTCCGATTAACCCAGTTAGGGGCCCGGGCCCCTTTTGAGCCCCCCCACCAAAGCCCTTTTGAGCTCAAGTTGGGTGCAAAATGCAATTACCACACAGACCATGAGACAGTTGCCCTCCTCAGCCCAGTTGGTAACCCTGTCTCTGCTGCCTAACTAAACA